ATTTTATGGCTAAATTTGAGCTTTAAAATAAAGAAAAACATTTTCAAAAAGAAGACGGATGCTTTTTCTGCTTTCAGTTTTACAACCCGTAGATGTAAAACTGATAATCTAATGAACCTTTATATATTTATATATATATATATATTAAAATCATACATGTTTTTAAAATTATTTCCAGTTATATTAGTCACTTCTTCTCTAGATAATAAAAATGAATTTTTAACACATGATGGCACATATAAGACTGTTTTCTTGGGAAGTGTACATCGAACCGTTCAGAAAATACTTTGCAGCTCTCTCTGCTGTTTTAGTTTCTCCGCCCTTCTGACAGAGAAAATGCTGGAAGCTCAGAGTTGTTCTCACAATCACGACATTAGAGAATAAAAGAGGAGCTTTGTTGTGTTTCACAGGCGGCTAATAGCTGCACGCTGAGGAGAACCCTGGTCTAATTGAATTACAGGCCTCAGCGGCTGATCGATTTAGAAGCGTTCGTAGTGGTTAAAGTAGAGTCAGTGTGCCAAGTCGCACCGTGTCATTGTGAAAGTTGAAAATAGGGAGTCACGTCTGTACAAGAATCTGTGCAGATAATTTTGTTTGTTTGTGGGTGTAGAAGGTGACACACATTCCAGGGGATCTAACTACAGTGGTGGAGTGAAGGGTTCGAGCCACTCCTGCACAAATATGCAGAGCATCTCAACCTTTTCTGCTATTTCCTAACTAAATGAAGATAGCAGTAAAATGACGTTAGTAGCCGAGTCTGTCGGAAACTGACTGTATGACATTGAGGCTCAGTTTTTAGCAGGTTGAGGAGTAAAGAATTTTAGGAATTTCTTTAAGTTTCTTTTTATCAGTTTAAATTTTCCTTTAAAAGTAAATAATCTTTACTGTTTTACAGTGTATACAGTTTATAGCTGCATTAAAAATACTAAGGAGACTATTAGTGTCTGTAGGTGGTTCAGATTAAAAAGATGGAATAAATGAATTAATGTCTGGTAAGCATTGAAAAGGAAAATTCACTTAGTTAAATGCAAATTTTAAATAAATGTAACATTTAAGGATGTCTTTACCACGTGCTGAACCAAAGTGACATAATTTAAAGTCAGGGAGTTTCTCAGTTTGAAAGAAGATCAGCTGATGAACCTTTTTCTGTGTAAACAACAGCAAAAACAGAAACGAACCAGCTGCGTCTGGAATAATGAATCTGTTTCTGCTTTGCTCATATCATCAAAAATGGTTCATTTCTGTGCCTTTTTTTTCTCAGCTTTCTTCACATCCCTCAAACTGGTGGAGAAACTTTTTTTTTACCGGCTCTTTAAAGGGTCCTGCCAATTGATGGCCAATCAACAGGACACTAGCCTAGATAAATGCATTAACATGACTTAGACAGAAACTACACCAAGAAGGTTGATCCAGACTTTAGTCAGAACAGTTTTTGAGCAAATAAGACATGAAAACTGAGTCTGACTGAGACTTTATTGCTGTGAAATGAATTTGTTTGGTTTTGCAGAGACTGTTTACCTCTTTAGATGCTAGTCTTACTGCACAGACATAAACTAAATATCTTTTTAAATTACTCATGTTAAAAATGAGCATATATAATTGATAAAAGGTTAAAGTAATTTGCAGTGTAGTTTTCATAAAGTCTTTGGTTGCTGTGAATTATAGTTTGCATATTTATTATCCCTCAGATGAGACAGTTACCCCTCAGATGCATTTACCTTAGGCATTCGGATCACTTCAATTGCCAGAGTGTTTAAAACAATGACCTCTGCATCCAGACTGCTTCTACAGGCAGTAATTAAATGGGTTCGTCTCTGGAGTTCAGCAAATTCCAGCGAGTTAACGCAACAGAGCACTCCTTATGCAGTAGGCCAATGTTTAGTTGTAAAATATCCTTAATACTTTATTTGACCTCATCTGTGTTTATCAGGTAAGGTATTAAGATCAGATTCATATTTTGAATAACACTTTAATATTTTAGAGACAGGTGAATTGGCGAAACATAAAACCACAAACAAATGTACTTTATTCTGATATCAATGTCATAATTAAAACAAGTGATTGTACCTCTTTTAAACCCATATACAGCCAACCACAGAGGATTTTAAGCTGCCATTGTTGCAAATGGTGGGCCTAAATCATATTAAAGCTGTTGTGTTAAAAAGTGGAATATCATTATAGGTTATACCATGGGTGGGGGGGACTCATTCATTTTAACAACATACAGTAAATGAGGCACAAGACCTTAAACACACCATCCAGTACATAATCAAACATGATGGTGGCTGCATTAGGCTGCAGGGAGGCTTCACTTTAGCAAGGACCGTATATATGAAAACAATATATATATATATATATATATATATATATATATATATATATATATATATATATATATATATATATATTTGTGACAAAAACTCATATTTTCATTCATCATCTATTAAAACTGCATGAAACAGACAGTCTACACCTGAACAGTGTCTGACCACTGAGTGTGGCTCTGTGCCACAGCAGGGGACTTGGGGACATGGAGGAAAGTCAAGGCCGATTTCAGATATTTAAACTGCTATCCTGAAAGCCCAATCTGTGCACTCAGGAAACCAGCTAACAAATAACTTCTGTTTGTTTAACCCAGCAGAGGAAAATAGGATTACTGGCTGTGTGCATGAACCTGACGTGCTGCTGCAGGGTTTATACCACAGGGAAACTTTCATTAAGGAAATGTTTATGTCTCAAGTAAAATGTTGTATTTTTTTTAAATAGTTGTTGCTGTCAGTTTAAACTTATTTTCCTTGATCAGTTGCTTAAAAAGCGGAAAAAAAAAACTTTCTCTTAAGTTTACAAAACCAAACAACTCCAAGAGAATTTTTAAGCCAGGGAACAGATTGATATAAAAATAAAGTCTTACAAAAAAAAGATCCTAAGTGAACAATGAGCATACTACATGTGCCTTCAGTGATAAATCTGATGACCAACACTGACAAACTACTGTCACGCTGACAGATATACTGGTGAGGCATGTTTTTGCTTCTCTGATAATGGGTCGCCCTGAAACCTGTCCTATCAGAATTTACTCCACATACTAGGAACTATGGGTGTGTCTGCTGAGTTAGAATAACTTAAAGATGAAAAAAAGTCCAACCTTGCAAAGAACTGGTTAAACCACACAGAAACATAACCCTGTGAGCCATTTTCCTACTGGTTCTCTAGGTTACAGCGACCTGCATCTGGAAGAGAAGCGTCAAGCTGGGTGAACCCTTCTGCTAGGTTGGCCTGGCATGGCACCTGCTCCAAGGACCGATATGCCAGCAAGGCTTCAAACTGTTTGCATTTGGAATAAATGAGCTCCTTTGTTCACCTAAACCCCAGATTTTGGTTTGCCCAGTTTGCTAAACACAATAATCCAGATATACTCACTCACTCTACATTCCTCTACTTGTTACCTGAGAGGGCAACGAAAGCTTGTAGCAAAAGGACATTTTAAACCTGTGGCTAATGCTGAGCATTGATTGGGTCTTCTGCACAAATCCTGGGATACTTTATTCAATTCAATTCACAACACGTGTCATCTCAGTTCACCCAGATCATGCAGTCAAATTGATTCAAAGTTTTCTATCTAAGGAAAACTAGTTCATTGCATCGACTCATTGACTAAAATGGAATCCCTCACACTAAGCATGCTTGTAGCGACAGTGGAGAGGAAAAACTCCCTTTTAACAGGAAGAAACCTGCAGCAGAACCAGGCTCAGTGTGAGCGGCCATCTGCTGAGGCTGACTAGGGTTCAAGGAGACAGAAGCAGAGATACAGAAAGAAACTGTAAGTTGTGTGTTTCCCGTCCAGGAAACACACAGCCAGACAGACGGGCTCCTTTGCTCTTTCTATGACTGCAAGTCAGAGATCCCAGATGTCTCACATCCTTTCATGCGTTTATAAATTAATATATTGCAAGTGTGTAATCTCCCACTGAAAGATATCCAACCTATAACTCCCAAAAAAATTACATTTAATCATCTTCCATAGAGTTACACATAGAAAACTAGAATAGGCACTGAAATAATTAGTCACTAATTAGTAGGGTTGGGAATTGAAAAGATTTTCACGATTCCGATTCCCTTTTCGATTCTATGAAACGATTCGATTCTTTATCGATTCTTTTTTCGATTCCAATTTGGGGAAAAAAGGAGAACAAACAGTTTGATTATCAGCATCAACTTTGTTTACTAAACTATTGCACAATGTTACAAACTCAACAAGATCAAGATGTCCACAGGAAATGTGAAACTGGAGTAACATCTGTGTTTAAATGAAAAATGAATACAAGAACAAACTTAATAACCAACAATGTCTAATAACAAATGATGGGATAATAACCTATTTTAAATAACAAAAAATACTAATTATAAAACAGTAGTAGGGAAAATTAACAGTTCTTTTGCAGAAAGATGAGCATATCTGCTTTTTCTGGAAGGATACAGGATCTTTCAGCGCTTATGGTGTCTCCAGCTGTGGAGAACACCCTCTCAGATGGGGTGGAGGAAGCCTGCACACAGAGGTAGTTTTCAGCCAGTCCAGATAGCAAGGGCAGCGTATCTTGCTTGTTCCACCACCACATTGTGGCGCTATCCCTGCAGGGGATGGAGGGCAAGCTTTTACAGAGCTGGATTTCCTGATCTACCCTCTGGGCTAAGGAAAGACGGGGCTTTGATTCACAAAGTGACCGCAGCTCGTTGTCTTCCTCCTCGAATAGTTCTTCCAACTTGCGTAACTTGCGTAACTTACGTACAAAACGTAACGTAAGTCGTGCTCCCCAGAGCCGGCCCTCTAGGCTGTGGTGCTGCGGGAATCGAAAAAAGAATCGTTCAGCGAGCTGCCAAACGATGCCATGGAATCGGAAAATACGGAACCGGTTCTGAACAGGAACCGGTTTTCGATTCCCATCCCTACTAATTAGACCCTTTAAGAATCTTTACATGACCTGATAATTGAAACGCACCGATTTAGTTAAAACTGGCTTTATTTTTTTCATATTAAGAGTAATCACATCATTTAAAGACACAGGCTGTTAAATACATAAATTAAAGTAGGCAATGGATTGAAAAAAAAGTCCTTCAATTTGATTAAGGCCGGCCCTGTTTTTTTGTTTTTTTGTCACTTGTTCTTCTCGGCTTTCTGAAGTTTTTTGTTCATGTGTCTCATGGAGATAAAAGCTGTGAGAAGGCAACACATAAAGAGAGCTGGGAATGATACGCAAGCCCACCACAGCTGCCTCTTTCCGAACGTGCCCACCACAGCGTCCCGCCGCCTGGCGTAGTCCAGGAACAGAGCCTCCAGCTGGAATAAGGTGCACAAAGACAGGAACAGGTGGAAGATCTGGTGACCCTGGCCAACAAAGTCGCAGCGACCTGGAAAGAAGCGCTCAGGAATGGGGTAGGAGAAAAATAAGGCAGCCAGGAAGAAGCAGCCAATCTGAAGGGCGTGGAAAGGGGAGGACGGCTCCTGGGCCCAAGAAACGGCGAGCAGACGGTGGGCTATGGGGCTTATATCCAGCGCATAGGCAAGGCTGGTGGGGATCAGCTGGCAGATTTTACGCTGCAGTGGATACGGCCGTCTGTACCTCGCCTTTGCGTAACAGCAACCAGCGCAGGAGAGCCACCCAAAGAAGGCAGCTCCAGGCAGAAAAAACATCCCAATACATTCTCTCCATGCCAAATCCGACGAGTAGAAGTAATGGCCGAGCGAACAGCCATACTGATACACAGCTACACCCACATAGTCCAAAAAGAAGACGTAGTAGTGGGCATGCTCAGAGTGAGACTGCAGGAGGTGAGCTGCCACACTGAGGAACAGATATGTAAGAGAAGACAGCAGAAAGAGGGTGAGAGGCATGGAGGCCACATCCAGGGTGTACCCCAGGGCGCCCACATTGGCCCACCACAGGAGCAGCAGCACTGGAGCTGCCAGCAGGTGAGTCCACACGTTCAAGGATTCATTGTGGCACTGGAAGAGGCTCAGGAGGTAGCAGCGCCAGTCCTGCTGGACGGGGCGGTAGCCCGACAGGATGTAGGGCTCTCGGAACAGAGCAGGGACTTGAGAGGCGGTGACAGTAGGGCAGGGTGATGGCAGGGAGGAAGGGAGGAAGTCCGAGAGGTGAGGGAGTCTGCCGAGTTGCTTGACATTCAGCGTCAAGGTGCTGAGTCGCTGCAGGATGTCAGCAGACATTTCTTCTGTTATGAGCTAAACCCTGCGGGTGAATGAAAAGGAATTAAATCAATAATTAAATGCCAGGCACTAAAAATACATATTTAACAGAAACATTCAAAATTTGTTTTACCATAACAGAAACAATGTGCAAAAAGACCATTATAAGCATTAGCATTGTAGAGATAAAGGACAAATATAAAGGAGGCTCTCTATGATATCATCATCATTTGAGATTTATTTGCCCTCAAAGTTGAGAACTTGGAGGCAGTAGTGTGTTAGTGTATCCATTTATGTTTTCAGACTGTTTCCTACATGCATTTTTTTTCTCCTGTGGATGTATTTTATAAAAATGTCAGCCTCTTTCTCATAGAGTTAAACTTAAACTACTGTCCTGAACATAAAGGCAGATTTGTAGATTTGTTTTTATACCCAATCTTACTATTTAGGAGCCTGCCGCATGCAGGTAATGAGCAGCAGACAACCAGAGGAATAAAGCTGCAGTTTAAGCTACAATGTCGCCCCAAAGTTTCCTCTAGACAATCATACAGCTCAGTTTAACTTAGTGTTGTTTAAAAAGAACCAGTTTTTTTAGTAAACAGGAACACTAACAATGACAATGATTTAGGCTGGCATCCGTCAAAAATGAATCCTTCATGAATTACCTCATTTTTAGGTTAAAAAAAAAAAAAAAAAAAAATTAAACACAGTTTTAACAAGTAGAGAGAATATGGAAGATTTGTAGATGAGCTTCCTATTCCATGCCTTAATGGAGGGTCTTCAACGTTTTCCAGGCCAAGGACCCCAAACTGATGGCGAGATGGAGATATTGTATGAAATAGTGTCATATGAAACTGGTCCTATAGTCACTCATAAGTGGAAAAAAAGCAGGGGAAAAAAAAAAAAAGTCATAAAAAACTTTCGCGACCCCCATTCAGAACCTTCTTGGCCCTCCTTGGGGTCACCGACCTCCTGTTGAAGACCTCCGCCTTAATGGCCACATGATTACATTACCAATATGCTAACTGATGCATGACACCCTGAGCTTTATATGCTTAAAGACTTTCATAAAAGTGATGTGACGTAGAATGAGCTTATGTTGGCGCTATGAACACTAATTGGAACAGCTTTACAAAATAAACTGAACGTGGAACCAGATTTTGTTTGTAGCCCAAATTCTTCCCATCTTTAGGATTCCACCACTTGTTTGTGTAATCTCCATAATGTTAGAAACAAGATGTAGAAAGCCTCCTTAATGGGTTCCTAACAACAGCTTAGAAGGTATGTGGTCAAACTTGCAACTGTTCTAATGACAGCTACTGAAAGGAATTCAAACCACAGCCAATGCTCTCACTGAGTACCTGTGAATAAAACTGCTTCAGGGTGAATCATCACCCCTATTGTGAATTGTTTGGCAACATATATGCCATCTACGCAGTATCTGACCTTGAATACTACAAAAAAATCACAGAATATTTGGAAGATTCATAAATAAGGTGATAATTTTGCTTTTAAAGGTGTTTTTTGTAAGATTTTTCTCAAAGCAGGCACATTTTTTACATTTTAAACTAATTTTAATCATGTTATTAGCTAAATGCATGCATATATTTATCAAAACAGCCCAATTCTGATCCTTTTATAACAGTTTTGCGACTGAAATCAGCACTCACACAGCAGATTATAGGTGTTAGAGGAGAATGAGAGCTGATAGGCGGGAGGGTCAGCTCCTTTACCTGCCGACGGTAGGACACCTGTTGCTCTCCTGAACAGCCGCCTCCCTGCGATGCCTGCTGAAGCTGCCGTTTATCCACACATCCAGATGCTTCTACATGTTGGGATGTTGAGGAGTTTGTTTGACAGGAAACCGGTAAAAAGGAAAAAAAAAAAGAGCCAACAGCTGATCCGACGTGACGGCACCGGGGAGCTGGCGGTGTGGGCGGGGTCAGAGTGGCCAGGAACGCCCAGCAGGAAGCTTTCAGTCAGATAGAAGACTTTTGTTTAATTCAACAGCAAACTTTGAATTATTTAAACCTTAGATAATTGATTTATTTACACTTTTTTATAACTTAAACTAAATGCTGCTACTGAAGCCAGCATATCTAGTATTATTAATGTATCAGATAAATATTGATTTAATCTACCAATTCATTGCTCAGGGTGTGACATATTTCAAGCATTTATTTTTCTGTTCCATTTAAAAATTTGAGTAACAGAAAATTTAAATATATAAAATTCAATTGATAAAACTCAATCTTTGTAACTATAGATTGAGTTAGAATGCTTGAAATATACCAATGATTAATAAATCTAAGTAATATAAGAGTTCTTGATGTTTATGATGAAGATAAAAAGATTTTTGTTTTATGATTTTCTAATGTATTTCTATGCACCTGCAGTAATATACCGTAGATATATAGAAATGTAATCCCTGATAGGAGAAATCCCCAATAACAAAGATAAAAACATTCAAAATAGGATAAAAAACACAAAATTAGATAAAAAAAGATAAAATAAATAAATAGTAAAAATAATCTAAAAAATGGTGGCCGGTGTTCTGTCAGATGAGCATACTCGATCACACCAGCATACCTATAGTCAATACCCATTTATCCCTTTACTTTATCCCTTTAGTTTTGTACGAAAAATAAACTTTAAACTACCTTAATGGGCATTTATCCCTTTAGTCGTGGACAAAAACTATTTAATTACTTACTTTTTGGTGTTTTTTGAAGCTTATGGCGATCACATCTTAAATAGTTTTTTTCTACATGACTTAAGGGATGCATGCCCATTGAGGTAGTTTAAAGTCTATCTTTTCGTACAAAACTAGAGGGATAGATGCAAATCTGACGTCTTGCGCATGCATATTGACTCTAGGTATGATGGTCTGATGAGGTATGCTTATCTGACAGAACGCCGGGACAAAAGACCTTCTATATCTCTCCGTTCTGCTTCTCACAGAGGTCTCTCAAATAGTCTCTCAAACTATGGCTGCTTTCCTGAGCCACCGTAGTGCTGTGCAATGGATGGCTCCCATTGACCCATATGGACTTCATCATTGCCCCAGTCATTTTCCCCACCAATTCCTCCATAGGGACTGCCTCTTCCCATCACTGCTGCACACTTCCTGATGAACTTCTCTATTCTGCTCCTGTCCCTGCTAGTAATTCTGTTTTACCCAGCAGAAAACTGTAAACAGAACAGCTGGCTACAACCGACGGATGAAAGAGGAAAAGCATATGCCTACACACACCAAATGACATAAGTCATCTGAGGAAGTAGAGTCTGCTTTGCTCCTTTAATGCTGCATTTGCCTGCATCGATCAGTCCACCTTTTTGTCAAGGTGGACTCTGAGATACTTACATGTGGAGACCATCTAGATTTCCACACCCTACATGATGACAGGTCTATGCTGAGCTCTTCCCTTGCCAAAGTCCACAATCATCTCCTTTATTTTGCCAGTGTTTAACACCAGCCCATTGCCCTTGCTCCACTATAAGAACTCAGTGATCACAGTTCTGTACTGTATCATCAGAGTATTTCTGTATATGGCATGTTGGAGACACCTAGGCAAAGTCAGATGTATGAACTATGAAGACGAACTGGGGGGGGACAGTTCCCTGAGGAGCACCCATGCTTGTCATCACTGTTCCAGACACACCCTTCCCCAGTCTGACGTATTGTGGCCTCTCTGTCAGGTAGCTGTTGATCCATGAGATCAACCTCTGGTCCACCTGCCTTTCTGAAGTTTCTCCTTCAAGATTGCAGAATGGATGGTGTTGAATGCCCAAAGAACATAAGCCGCACTGTACCATCTAAAAAGGAGAGTTCCCTGTGCAGCAAGTAAAGAATGGTGTCCTGCACACCCATCTGCGCTCAGTAGGCAAACTGTAAGGGGTCAGTCAGAGGTTATAGTTGTGGCTCAAGCAGCCTTTTCAGGGTTTTTATTGTCATTGTCATGAGTACAGAGCAATGAAATGAACTCTCTGCATTTAACCCATCCCTTGGGGAGCAGTGGGCTGCCATTGTGCGGCGCCTGGGGAGCAGTGTGGGGTTAAGGGTCTTGCTCAGGAACCAAGAGTGGCAGCTCGTGGTAGTGGGGCTTGAACTAAGAACCTCAGGATTCCAAGCACAATGCCTTAACCACTAGGCCGCCATCCCCAAATAATAATTGAACTTTATTGATCTCACTTTGGAGAAATGTACCTCTGCATTTGACCCATCCCCTTGGGGAGCAGTGGACTGCCATTGTATGGCGCCCAGGGAGCAGTGGACTGCCATTGTACGGCGCCCAGGGAGCAATGTGGGGTTAAAGGTCTTGCTCAGGAATCCACAGTAGAGGCAGGGGGATTTGAACTGGGTACTTGCAACCTTCTCGGAACACAAGAACACTGCTCTAACCACTAGTCCAACACTCCCCTCAAAAAATTGCTTTTAACCCATCCCCTTGGGGAGCAGTGGGCTGCCTTCATGAGGCGCCCGAGGAGCAACTGGGGGTAAAGGGTCTTTGCTCAGAGAGCCAGAGTGGCAGTGCTTGGGAGTGGGTTTCAAACTCACAACCTCAGGACTCCAAGCTCTATGCACTAACTACTAATCTGCCACCCCCCTAAGTAAAAGCCTTTCAAAGGTTTTCATGACCACAGACTTCAGGGCCACTGGTCTGTAGTCTTTGACCCCTGTAGGCCTCCTGACCTTAGGCACTGGCACAATGCTTGTTGTCTTCCACTGCCTTGGTACCTTTCCCTGTGTGGCGGCTCCACTTAAACAGCACCTGGAAAGGCACCGCCAGCTCTGCAGCACAGGCCTTAAGAACCCTGGGTGCGAAGCCATCATATCAGCATAAGTCTGCATGTTTTTCTCCCAATGTATAAACCCACCACTTGGGCTGCTCTGATATTCAGCCTTGCAGCACTAAATGGGAGTAATGAGTGGAGCCTTCAACCATATTCCCTGTTTACCAGAATGCTTGATGGGAAGGACTGCAGACCAGAGCTTCCAATCAGAGCATACTCATTACCCAAGCTATATGTTAGAATAGAAACATTTCTACCAATACTGACTAGAGTCAACGTTCACTGAAACTTCATGTACAGTATTTGAAACATATTTGTCATGTTTATTTTAGATATTACATATAGACACAGCTCACTGGTGAGTTCTGTTATTTTTAGAATAATGATTTGTTTACCATAAGAACATGAACTTTATGAATCTGTATTATATCCCACTGAATACCAAACTTTTCAACAAACTTGATCAGAACAAAACAGTAGAAATCAAAGCTCTCAGTTAGATTCTCATGTGTATAAATTTCAGTCTCCAGTCAGCCAATGTGGGAAAATCCTTCCAGACATAAAACCTCAAAGTTTAGTCGCTAAAGTTTTTCATGTCAAAATTATATAGTATTAAGTTATTGTTTATAATCATAGAAAATATATTGTAGTGAAGAAATCTATTTTTGTGCATAATTTTTGTCTTAATTTTGCCCTGAGTTTTATAGCACCAACAACTCTGAAAACTGCTCTACTTTACAAATCATCAGAAACCCACTGGATAATATCTGATATCCTATTTCTCCATTTAGAAACTCCATGTGTTGGTTCTAACAATGACAATCAGAGAATATCATTTTAAAACTTGAAATTGAATTTTATCCAGTAACATCATTAGGAAACGATTTAGGCCTGAAATTAAATTTTTTTGTTTTTAGTTTTGATTTAAATTTTTTACAGAACAATACAAAAAGAATATGATCTAAGACAAGTGAAAAGAATAATAATGATAATAGAGAAATTTTCTCGATATAACCTGCTTCAGATAATATGTATGTTTTTCTCATCTCAGCAAACATTATACTATAATATACAATTTAGTGATATAAGATATATATAAAAAAAACAAACAAAACATTCACACAATTTCAATCATATGTCCATATTATTTTTTCTTCCCTTCTTTATGAACCCTGTAATTTATAGATTTAAGTATCCTTTAACCATGTGCCATCACTGATTAAAAATGTCGGTTTTCAGTTGTAATGAAGCAGCCATTTTTTTCAATAAATCTGTTTCAGTCTCTGTTTCCATTTAGTCACAGTTGGTGATTTCCCCTTCTTCCAATTAACAGTAATGTTTTTTTTTTGGCAATGAGTAGTAATACTCATAGGATTCAAAAAAAGTGAGGAAAAAAACAATTCACTTGACTTTGTTTCCAGGTTTGAAGACGTTTCGCCTCCCATCCAGGAAGCTTTTTTCCAATTTAAAATGTCAGAAATAGCATAGAGTTCAAGGCTTTGTAGAAAAGCCAGAATATAAAGCTTGGAAAAACAAAGTCCAGTGGATTGTTTTTTTTTTTTTACTTTTTTAGAGTGACTATGACCTGGATGACTGAGAATCTTCACCAGCATACTTGTAGCATATATCTTTGGTCAGCATTGAAAAATTCAACTGATATAACACTCAGTAAAACTACATTTAAGTGAACTTCACTTTTTACAATTTTCTCCATCTCTCCTTTAATGTTTTCACAATATGTAAGGATTATTGGACAGTTCCATAATATATGAGTATGGTCGCCTATTTTACCACATTGTCTCCAGCATAACGCTGCAGATTGATCTATCACAAAATTTAAGATAATTTATGTTTCCAATCAAATTCCTTCCACGGTTAACTTTTTATTCCCTTATGGAAACTATAACATTTTGTCCCACAACTCATTTTATTATTGCAGTCGTGTCTAATCCCCACTTTTTCTTGATATTATATTTTTAACTATGTCTGTTGATTCTTTTATTAAGATGAGAAACATGTTTACCAACAGGAAGGTTTTGAAATGACATTTTATTTTTGTGAATCTGCTAAAACAGCAGAACAATTATAATTCCAATGTGTTTATGAAGAGGCTCTCTGGAAGAACATTTTTGAT